TAATAAAACCACAATAAGGAAATGACTTACAAAGTCAATGTCATAAACCCATTACTGAATATAGAGTTTTGGTGAACAGATTTAGCCTGAATGAAATATGCTGTTAAACTCCAAAACCAAAATGTGTTATATTGAAGCTAACCAATTCTTAGATGTGATGGCTGCATTCATTTTCATTTTCAAATTATTTTTATTTAATGATCCAGCCAGTAAGTGTTATTTTTCAACTTCCTTTAGCAAACCTAGCTGTCCAGCAAAAGTGGCAGTTAAAAGGTTTTTCTCAACCCTCTAACACTGATCAGCTTTTATTCATTTATATAAAATAATTATCCCAAAATGGAAACAAAAAAAATGCTGTAATTGCATAAAAAGCGTTAGCTGGAGATCATCTTCAATTTGTTAGTCAAGTTCATCTGAATCTGCTATTACGTCCAACACTACCCACCACCCAGATTGACAATGCTGTAGTCCAAAAGGTGTCTCTGTTGCTCCTCCATCCAGAGTAGATACACCCTATGATGGAAAGTATGTTACTGGCTGGATCACCAGGTGATAAAGGGGAAAAAAAAGTCTAAAAAAGTAAACTAATGCAGCCACCACATTTAATGACTAATATGCTGCAATACTATATATTTCTGTTTTTGGCATTAATGCAAAATTTAAAAAGCCATTAACGGCAGTACAAAACTCTAGCAGAATGTACTGCTGCATACTGACATCCTCTGACTGTAATGAGCACCATCAGCAGTTAAACCAACAATGCTCCCGTTTACTAGCACTCACAAGGTCTTATCAAATAGAGATTTCATTCATTAGACACTTTTTACATTACTTATATTAGGCTTTGGTTCAGTTAGGTAACATACATGGACTGCAGATGACACGGAAACTAATATAAGCATTTAGCCAATAGGCAAACTCTGGAGAAGTGTTTGTTAAACTCCCTGTATCCTTGGTAACAGGATGACAAGCAAGAAACTGTGTTGTGCATATTGGTCTTTCACCCAACTGACCTGGTGAGGCAATGTTACTGCATTAGCTGGAAGGTATGCTGAAATGAATACCAAGGCCCTTTGCACACACAGCACACACTGGGAGGAACAGTGCAGTGTCCTGTCCCACTGCCTGTCAAAATCTATGGCAGGCTGTGGTTGGATAGGGCTGAACGCTGTACCATATTACCAGCATTTAGGGCCCTGTCCATTCAGGGACAAAGTTTTAGAACACAGGTCTTCTGCCCTCCTGCACATTGTCCCTGAAAGCACAGGGCCCTAAACACCAGTACTATTCGGTACAGCATTCAGCCTTGCCATAGACTTTGACAAGCTTCCTGTGATGTGGCTGGAAGCTGCGCCGTCCCTCTCGGGCGCACTACAGCATGGACAGATGCAATGCAGCTGAACAGCCCTGTGTGCAAGGGGCTTAAAACGTCAGTTTGCCCAAAACTGACAGATGTGGAAAGGCAAGTCATTTAAGAGTTTTTTTTTTTTTTTTTTTTTTTTTTTTTTTTTTTAGGGACTTTAGTGATGAAATCTTTGTACTTGAGTTCCTAGGTTCATACACCTGCTGTGCCAATTACATTGGACACAAACTCTCCCAATTACATTGGGCACCCACCCTCCCTGCTAGGTTTTCCATTTATTACGTAATGGAGAAATGAAAATACCCATTTTAGACTCCACCTCTAACTTAAAGGCCTTTTCCTGAAAATATCCTATGCAGTTAAGGGGTCCCAATAGATATTAAACTGTGCAGCTTTGTAAAACGATCATTGATTTTATTGCATAGATAAATAGTGCTGAGCTACTCATTAAACCTAACCATATAGCAAAATGTAAAAACACCTGACACAGCCCCTAACTAAGGTGATAGAAGTGCATACTAGAGAATAACCAAACACAAGTGAAAGAAAAGATCTAAACAGACTAGATGCCCTGCTAGGCAATACCAAATATGAACAATTCAATAAGTGAAACTTCAATATATGTGCAGACAGACAGACAGACAGACAGACAGACAGACAATCTGAGCACTATATATCAAGGTATAAATAAAAAGAATAAAAAAAAAAATTATATATATATATATATATATATATATCTATATATATATATATCTATCTATATCTATCTATCTCTCTCTCAAATATAATAAAATATATCTCAATCAAAGCACACATAATAAACACCCGGCTGAGCCCTCAACCCAGTGACAGTCTGTAAATAAATGTCCGTAAATGTAGTAAAAAAAAAATCAAGATCTGTCATGCAGAAAAATCTTCAAATCAGCATGTGTTTCCTTTTTGCTTTATGGTTAGGTTTCGTGAGTAGCGCAGCACTATTTATCTATTCATTTATTTTTTAGTGTTGTGGGACCGCAATTTGTTTGCAGCCACTCTTAGTTTATCATATTAGGTTTGGCAGCACAAGAGGATTTTTTCTTTATTCACTGATTTTATTGTCATATCTGTAGGCTATTTGGGACTCCCTGTAAGCCTGGCTGAAAAAATTCCCAGTTTTCATTTCTCACGTCCAGTCTTGTTGCTAGAACGTGAAAAAACTGTTGGCTTTTGCTCTTGTATTGCTGGGAGCGAGTGTTCAACAGTTTTCGCTCCCTCCCAACAAAGCAGAAAGCCATACCTACAGATATGACAAATACAATCAATGAACCTTTCACAGTTGCACTTGCACAGGGGCCCCTTGGCTGCAGAGGCGATTTTCTGGAAAAATGAAGTTAGCCTTTAAATACCAAGTTTAAGAAACACTAAAAAACCATTATGTATGTCTCAAATGACGGCAACATATAGGCAGGTATTTCTTGCAAGTCACAACCAGCTTTAACATGTTTGTCAAGAATTCATAAAAATATTGATTTTACAGGTTTAAATAAAATGCAATGAAAAAAATTAGAAGGCAAAAAGGGTAGGTAAAAAACTAAGACTGGAAACAAAATGTAGAGTTTTATCTGGCACTAATAACTGAGCTGGGAGAGAAAAGAAAATCACATGAAATGGAAGTGAGTATGCAGAGAGTCGGAGAAACTGCGGATGGAGGAGAATCAACGTCAGACAAGACCTGCTGTCATTGGCAAAAGCTATGACTCATTCCCTGCAGGATGTGAATGAAGACACCTCTTTATTCAGAGCTCATTATCTCTGCTGATGCCTCTCGATCCCCCTGCCGCCCACATGCTGTCTCTGTGTTGGGGCACACGATCAGACCCTCCCCCACACCATGAATCTCTTTACTGAAGCAGCAAAGGAGGTGCTATTACCCACTACATATTAACCCATGGCTTATCAGAAACGATTGCACTAGCTGGCAAACTGGAATATGTGCAAAAGATGGCAGAAATATACCAAATCATCAGCACTTTACTAATTTCAGAATGCAAAATACATAATGTATCATTTCCCGAACACAGAATTTTAGTACCATATTCAATGACTAAAGTGTTAATAAACCCACAATAGTAAAATAAGTCTGTATATGCAGTAAAGCATGCTCGTTATACTTACTCTGGAACCTAAACCTCCACACTGTGTAAAAAGGCCATTTGATCCTGTCATCTCTGATCCTCCCCTTCTTCCACAGTCCCCAACCTGCTGATAGTACAGAACCCTAGGAGGCACTCTTCACATGCTCAGTTTGGTGTGTATTGGTATAGAGTTTTTGGGGATTTTTTTTGGGAGGGTGCTTGCAATCGGTAGGAGCCAATCCGCTCAGTCCATATAGAGGGCCAGGGGTCATGCAGCCCCAGAGTAGAATGAAAACTCCTCCTACAAGCTTTAACCAGTACTCAGCGAACACTGATAGAAGTGACAAGACTGCTCTATACTGCTGATGAGAAAAGGTATTTATATATTTACAAAAATAATTGCATTTCCATGTTCTGAGGAAGACTGGATATAGCGAATGCACTTTTTACCCTTCTTGAAAAAAATCAGCTGGCAGTTGGTCAAAGCTTCATACTGTGAATTACATACACCATGTTTTCCTCCTTACCACTGGGAACCAGCATGCAATACCCTCTCTCTCAATAAGCCCTTAACATTAGGACAGCCCACCATAACCCATCAAGGCCTGCAAGACCTTTGAAGTTATGCTTGGTATTTGGCAGCAAGCCATCAGTAGCAGATCTTTAAGTCCTGTAAGTTGTGAGGTGGGGCCTCCATGGATCAGATGGTGTTTTTTTTATAGCACATCCCACAGTTGCTTGATTGGATTCAGATCTAGAGAATATGGATGCCAACTCAACACCCCAAACCATTCTAGAATTAATCAGATTACGCCACTTTTATCCTTTGCTCTATGGTTCAGTTATGATGCTCATTATAGACGCTTTGGCTTTGGACATGGGTCAGCATGGGCACCCTGACCGTTATCTGGTTATGCAGACCCATACACAACAAACTGCGATGCACTGTGTACTGACACCTTTCTTTTAAGAACAAACATTAACTTTTTCAGCAATTTGAGCTGCAGTAGCTCCTTGTTTGGATCAGAAAACACAAGCCAGGCTTTGCTCCCCATGTACATCAATGAGCCTTGGCTGCCCATGACCCTGTTGCCGGTTTCCCTTCCTTGAACCACTATTAGTGGGTACTGACAATTTGGCCCTTGCCAAAGTCACTCAAATCCTTATGCTTACACATTTACTCTGTTTTCAACATATCAACTTCAGGAACAACATATTCAGCTGGCTCTGTATTCAGATAAACATTGTTAGTCACTTACCTGTCAGTGGCCATATTTGTATGGCTGAACAATGTATATATATATATATATATATATATATATATATATATATATATATATATATATATATATATATATATATATATATATATCTCATTTTGGATTTTTTTTTGTTACATATTCATATTATTTGCAGGGATTGTCTTCAGATAAACCTGGGGTGAGACTATATTATGGCATAGATCATTCACGCTTATGTTCCTGAAGGTTGTTTTAAACTACCTTATAGAGAAGACTTTCACATCACTGTTGCTTGCAGGCCGACAACTTGCGTACTTTGCCCCCTGATGTGCTAGCCTTGCGCTGGGATGCAGAACTAACTCTTCTTTCTGTCTTGAGTTGATTCTCTGTGCCATTCATACACAGTTGTTTGGTAGTAGCACTGCCCTGTGTCTGTGCAAACATGTCCTCTTCAGGCACCTGCCCTGGGAAGGAGAGGAAAGTACTTGTTAAGAAAAGGGGACATGATCCATCCATTGTTCTATGGGATGGGATCTATTATCCTGAATGGCTACCATTTGGCATTTTCCATAAAAGGGGAAGCACAAATCATGAATATAACAAAATCCTCCCTAAATTTACGACTGCACCTTTGGTTTCTCATCTCAATAAATTTAGTTATGGCTTCCCAATAAACAATGGAAAAGAAAATGGCTAGTGACAGCATTCACGTATGCTTAAAAATATTTTTTTTCTGTGAAACAACCCAAACCCTTTATTGTCCAAGTCTATGCAGTATGTACAACTGGGTATTTTTTCTATTCATGCATATCAAAATTAAATTTTCAATCTTTTGACTGTAAGAAAATGAAACATTTTCTTAAAAAAAAAAAAAAAAAAAAAAAAAAAGATCTTTCTGCAGCGTTTACACTTTTCCTGCATTTACTTTCTCTTGCTATTAAAAGAAATACATAAGTATTGCTTTGAAAGAGAGGACAGAAGATGCGGGACGAAGTAGGGAGTCCGGTCCATTGGACCTTCTTCATTGTACGGCAATGTTAGACCCAAAGCTATTGGGATGCTCCTGCAGTCAGTTCAATGCAGAGAAAAGGACCAGCATCACTAGAGAGAAGATTTCTACAGGAACCATTAACCTGCAGGGATTGGGACATACTTATACAGGTAAGGTGCAGTATTTACTGCAGCTGTACCAAAAAAACATTTTAACTACACTTCAGCTTTAAAGTGTAATTCTAGCCAAAACCTAATCTTTAAAGTTTAAATAGAGCAAGGAAGAAGGAGAAACCCTGTTGTGTTTTACAGCCATCAAGAACTCCATTGGGAGATTCCTGTCACTGTCCTATGACAACCGATGGAGGGAAAAATATCAAACCATAAACACAGAAAAAAAATAAAATATAATAATAATAATATTTTCTCTGAGTAGCCTAGAGGAAACCTAGAACCCCTGTAAGTTTTTTTTTCTTTTATTGCTGCCTGTACCCCAGTTGCATTTCCCCTTGCTTCCAGTCTGGTCAGGAAAGCTCTCTCAGCACTTTGGGTAGCAGTAAAAACCAGACAGTGTTTGTAACCTTCTCCTCTATCCAAAAATGTAAAAACAAAACAAAATGTTTTAGCTTAACTTACATAATACAGCACTACATATATCCCAATACCAATGCAAAACACTACAGACACTCAACGGTGTAAAAGTCCTTTATGTACCGCTACTGTATGATCTTGTCCCTCCTGAGAGTAGACTTAAAATGACTATTTAAACTATCTGGAGTATCTTCTCAAAAATACTGGATTCCAGAAGAACACCGACTACAATATCCGTTAGTACTGGAGTCAAGGCCAAGTGGAAGCCCGCTTTACCTGGAACTGTGAAATCTTGTGTGTAGATGATTTCATCCTCTAAGTCACAGAGGTCCTCATCTTCACTATACCCGTGCAGATCCTCCAGGTAAGGCACAACTGTCAGACTCCTCCAACAGTCCTTGGTTTCTGAACTAGGGGGAATGGCTACAGGAGGATCCATCTGTGGATGCTTCTTCCGGAACCAGCTGCAACGTTAATAATGCGAGATCATAACATAAATACACAGTGAAAATGGATGAGGCAGGCACCCCACGCCATATATGAGTAGGCACTAGTTACCATTAATAATAAATTAATGATGCTCAGAATGCAATGCTGTCTTTTGCATTCATTTTTCCTCTAATTCACCCATCTTTTACGGTCCATCCAAATCTCATCTTTATTACCTTCTAATTTATTTTTCTAATTTTTTTTTATAAGCACAGATTGCTCACATCCACACCATTTAATATCTCTAGTGTCTACCTAAACCATTATATAATTTGCCCTTCACTTGCAGAATGCTGACCTAGTTGGCAATCTTATGCCAAGTGGACAATATACAAAATCATATAGAAATGAGGTTGACAAAGCAGAAGCTGTGAAATATTGGAATGCCCTGCTCCTGAGAGCTGATCTAGAAACTCCCATTCCTTGTTCCTGGTTCTTTTCCCTCTGACGAAGTGCAGCACGCAGAGAGGTGACCCAGTTGCCGTGGCAACCAGCTGAGGATTGGGGGGGGGGGTTGCTGCTGTTACTCTGCACATCTTTCCACGCTCAGTAGATGAGTCACACAGTGTCTTCTAAGCACCCTGTCACTAAGGGGGGAGACAACGATAGAGGGAGGGTGAAGGTTTCAGCAGATACAAGTATGGAGGAGAGATACAGAAAAAAAAGGCAAAAAAAAAAAAGATGGAGAGAATCTAATCAAGTAGAAGTGAAGGCAGTACGCACTTATTCTGTTGAGAAACTGAAGGAGACAGGGTAGTCATAAGTAAAAGACTTAATTAGGACATTGCCACATGGGGCTGAAAAGAAGTTAAATAAAAAGGGTGTTGGGTATTTTTAAAAACAAAACAAAAAAAAAACCCAAAAAGCAAACATACAACAAAACCACACACACACAAAGATGCCAGCCTAATCTGTACATGACCATTTTATGTATAGTACGTTCTGCAGATCAATATTTATTCAGATAATGAGTGTTAAAAACCCAACTGTGCAATGGTTGACTATACATATGACAAGTTAGAATTTCTAGCTTTTTCAACCAGCTTTGAAATGCAGAGGCAATCAGACAAATCAAGGTAACCTACCATCATCCCTGCCATATTTTATACATTTAAAGTGGAACTAAAGGCAGTTTATACTCACCTTTCCTTCAACGGTCCTGTTTCTCACCTGCGCTTTTTCCTGTGTGATGGTTTTCGGCCATCTTCATTGGCCAGCACAGGATGATGTTACTCCTGCACATGCGCAAAAGACACTCATTTTGGCACACAGGGATTAGGTCAGCTGCTGTAAGCGGAGCTGCTCATGCACAGCTCAGATTAAAATGCTGAGGGACTATGCAAACAGGCAGGATAAAAGGATAAGTTCACCTTTTGGACATAAATAAATGCACATTTCTGCAGATTAAACGAAAAGAATAAATGTACATTTTTTTTTTTTTTAAGGAGCCTGGAAAGCACTGCACCAGTGATCAGTAGATCGCTGATGCCATGCAGGCCTGTCAGAATATCCACTTACAATATGGGATGTACAGTCAAGCAGATACCACAGCACTGTGGTAGTTCATTGAAAACTACAAGCCCCCAGCCGTTAAGGCTGTCGGGACGTGTAGGCACTCATTCACAGAACAATGTGAATGAGTGACGCGGCCGTGTGGGCGGAGCTCTGCACAGCCGCGCGGTTTTCAAATCTGACAGATAGTACGGGGAAACTCCCCGCATTAGCCGTCAGAGGGAAGGAGGGGGTCCGCTGCGGCTATGGTTACATGTTACGTGTTCCACCCTAAAACGGATGGGACAAATAACATGTTCCAAAAGGTGAACTTATCCTTTAAGTGTATTGCATTGCATGTCTCTTCCGCAATAAAATAAAACCTGCCTGCTCACACGCAAAACTTTAGCTCTACTTTAACTACGTAAAATGCACAACTTTTTTATATATAGCCATAGTTCAAAGTTTTAAATGATACTTTGCTCATGAGACTTGCATGTCTCTATGATGACTCCTTGATCGTGAAGCCTACCCATCCACTATATCAGCTTTTCTCAACCTTTTCACCCCCAAGGAACCCTTGAATCAATTTTTGGGTCTTAAAGTGGAGTTCCACTGGACCTATTAAAACAAAAAAAAAGTAAGCAGCTACAAAAAGAAACTGTAGCTGCTGACTTTTAAAAAAAAAAAGCCACTTACCTGTCCCTTGGTCCTGCGATGTGTCCCCTGCAGCTCGTTTCACCGGCCGTCCTGTATTCCAGGAGGCCGGCATCTTCAGTGTGGGCACCCGCTGTGATAGCTTGCGGCTTCACAGCCGGGTACCCACTGCGCATGAGTGAGTATCGCTGCGCTTCCTGAATGGTCCTGTAGTCTTCTGGGAACTATCACGTTTCCCAAAAGACTACAGGGAGGGAGGGGGGAGGACACCTTCCGTTTCCAATCACCGCAGCAATCGGACTGGAAGTGGGAGCGGGTACCTGTCAAATTTGGGTACCTGCTCCCCAAAGGTGCCAATCCTTAATGGGGAGCAGTCCTTAAAGCGGAACTTCCCCTTTTGGGTGGTGCTCCGCTTTAAGAAACCCATGCTATAACCAATTTATTGGTGGTCAGTGAGAAAAAAAAAGCACCTTTCACTGGTAGTCAGTGGGAAGAATGCCCCCCCTAACAGTAGTGTGATCAGAATGCCAACCTTACAGCTAAAAGGATCACTGGTGTCTTGCTATTGTCTCTTTCAACAGACACTGGGCCTGAAATTATGCATTCACCAACAAACGGGAGGTGAATCAGCCAAAGCTCTAGGAACCCCCAGCAATCTCAGGAAGAATCCCTAGTTGAAAATGGCTGTATATATACCGTGTGTCAGTGTTAATTGCTAACAACTACTCTTTTCTGCTGTAGAAGCAGATGTTAACAGTAAATTGGGAAAAACATTCCAACCCTCGAGTGCTCCTGAACCACTGTTCTCCCAATGCAATTGTTCTTGCACAATACGATTGTTCATACTGTTCAAAAATCCCAGAACGATTTCTCATTCTGTTCAAAAATTGCTGTTTATTGCTGAAAAGCTTTTGTTCACTTCAAACAGGTTCTGTTTTGCATACAAGTCTATGGGAATGCAACACCCACCCACTTGAAGCAGGTCAAATATAGGTTTACAAGGTCCTATACCCCAGCAATGAATTCTGAATAATCTCAGAAATGTCTATAATTGATATCAAACAGGTACCACTAACACAAGCCCAAAGCTTGTAGACACAGGTCCTAAGTGTACCAAGACCTATCAGCATTGCAAGATACATGCAGACACAAACAAAATGAAAAATGAAGAGTCTTTGCAAATGTCTGTGAACCCCAATAATAACCACTTAGCCTCCATAAGGTTTTACCCCCTTCATGACCAGGGCATTTTTTTGCTATTCGGCACTGCACTACTTTAACCCAAAAAGAATTTCTTTTTTTTTTCTACAAAAAGAGCTTTCTTTTTGTGGTATTTGATCTCCTGTGGTTTTTTTTTTTAAAATGTATTCTATAAAATAAAAAAAAAAAAAAAATGAAACGTTTGGGAAAAAAACTATAATTTTCTACTTTGTTATAATACACATCCAAATAAAAAACAAAACAAAACATTTTTTTCCCATAAATTTAGGCCAAAATGTATTCTGCTAAATGTCTTTAGTAAAAAGAAAAATACCAGTAAGTGTATACTAATTTGTTTGTGCGAAATTTATAGCATCTACAAACTGTAGTATCTATACTGGAATTTATGTAGCTATGACGCTATACTGGTAACGACGCTGATAAGCGACTTATAGTGGGATTGCGATAGTGTGGCAGGCAATCTGGTGCTAGCTGACATTCGCTGGGAGGTACATTAACAGACTGACACCGAGATCACTAGTGACACTAATACAGTGATCAGTGCTAATATCTGTACAATTGACAATGGCTGGGAAGGAGTTAACTATTCCGGGCAATCAAGAAGTTGTGTGCCTAACAATGTGTAATATGTGCTGCTTTTACTTTTCCCTGTACAAAGAGTTCTGTTTTGTAAACAAAAAACTGTGATTGGACTCAACTGATTTCAGCCAAAATCACTGGCTGAAATCAGCTGCCAAACTTCAGCCATGTACAATCACAGCACAAGTAACCAGGAAACCTGGAAGCTCAGCCGCAACATGCCATTATGTGGCCCGGCCGCAGTACATATTGTGTAAGTGGTTAACTAACCCTTACACAATACCTAAACCAAAAAATAAACAAAATCAACCTCTCCTCATCTTAACCTAACACTGAAATGAACACTTAACCCAATCCTTAGCCTAACACTTCTAATTAACCCTTAAGTTGGTTATACATGAGCAGATTTTTGATCAAATACTAAATTATGGACATTCATAGGAAAATTCTTTGTACATTCAATGACTGGACAAATGGTCATTCAAAATACTTTAAAGCCCAAACCTCATTGACGTTAGAAAAAAAAAAAAAGACTGCAGTCCAAGTATATTTTTGTGCCTGCATATATATATATATATCTCTATCTATATCTATCTATCTATCCATCTATATATATATATATCTTTTGTTTTTCTTTGGGGTCCCATCATCCCCAAAATCTTAAACCTGATGATACAACAATCATCATTTTCCTAACTCCTTGTGAAACATTGCTATATACATTATACATACAAACGATATACACACACAAATTACTGTATACATTATAGTGAAGATTTGAACGCATTAAAGTCAAGATTTGCGTATCACACAGTGGTCCAGGTTTTAGAGGTCTGGGGGTGTGACAAAATATGTACATACCGGCAGTAGCCCCTTTTAAGGCAACTTTAGCAGTTGTTAGGAAGGTTGAGGAAAGATCCGAACTAACAGGGTTTAACACACACACACACACACACACACACACACACACACACACACACACACAATAGTCAATACTCTATTTCCAAAAAAGATGCAAAGGTTTTCAGTATAAAGTTTTATAAGTGCAAGATGTTTTCATTTTACTTTATTTCGACCCTTTTACTTAACTTATCACCAAACAATTAACCGAAATCCTAAAATTAACCACAAAAATTTAAAGAGCATCTGTCATGAGTAAAAAAAACAAAAAAAAAAAAAAAAAAAAAAAAAAAAAAAAAAAAAAAAAAAAAAAAAAAAAAAGGACCCTGCAAAAGAAGACTTACCTGTCCCAGAACCGGTTTTGCAAATCTTCACTCTTATGCCATGCATAACAGGTTAATAAAATAAAAAGTAAACAGGCAAAAGGAATGGGAAAATAATGAAGGATATAAAGACAATGACATGGTGAAAAAGGCATGAGCAAAACAGAAATCTGGGAGGCTTAAAGAAACTATAATGGAAATAAACATTCATGCAGCATGAATTCAGCAATGCATTACTAACCCTGTGCACAGTAGTTAGCAAGAGAAGCCAAAGACTTTCTTAGAAAATGCAAGCCATGTATTCTCCTTTAACATGACATGTTCACACATCCATCATCATGACCATCGTCATCCACTGACTCAGACCAAACATTTCTGCAACAATCAGGAGTGAAAATTTTAGTGATAGCAAGAAATTGAACTCACTTGTGACGACGGATCTGCTGTATTGAAAACCTCTTGGTTGGGTCATATTCTAACATTCCTAGGTGAAAAGAAAGGAGTGTGAATAATAAATCTGTCAAAAGCATAGTTAAGGGTTTGAACACCTGAAAAATCAGTTATAGTAAATGCTTTAGAAGAATGAATGAAGGTAAAATTTCACAATATTTAGAAAATTCAGCTGGGCCTGAGATTTTACAACACAGATCAGTAAGCTGGTCTTAAAAAATGAGCAGTCAATACACGCTGTGCAGCAAGCTGCACGAGTCAGTTGGCAATCATGATCAGCACAGGCAGCCTTCATGTGGCACGCATTTGTCAATATTTTCGAGTGAATCGGGTAATAGTAAATCTTATTTCGCAATCCGCACACTGTTTAGTCTGCCAAAATTACATCACAAGTCTGGCCACCAATATCGTACAACTGCACTGCTTGATGCATAAATGGAGAGGCCTCTCCTACAAACTCGTATGTCTTGTAAACAAAATTACTACAAAATATTATGCAGCACTAAAATTTGATTTTTAATTAGTTTAATAGAGGATCCTATATCCACTGTTAATAACCCACTCTGCAGTACAGGCAGAAGAGAAAAAAAATCCTGTCAAAACCACTACTTTTCTAAAACAACTTACTAATAAAATTCAAACATCCTGCCCAGGCCAATATTCAGCTTTCAGTGCTGTCGCACTTTAAAAGACAATTGCGCGGTCCTGCAACATTGTACCCATATGAACTTTTTATCATTTTTTTCACACAAATAGAGCTTTCTTTTGGTGATATTTACTCGCCGCTCGGGGTTTTATTTTTTGCGATATAAACAAAAAAAAAAAAAAAGGCAAAAAATTTGAAAAAAAAAAAGTTTTTGTTTCTATTATACAATTTTGCAAACAGGTACCTGTACTTTTTCTCCTTCACTGATGTGTATTGATGAGGCTGCACTGATAGGCAGCATTGATAGGTGGCAATGATAGGAGACACTGACTGGCGGCACAAGTGGGTGGCACTTCAGGGCACCACCGATCATCAAGGCACTGATCATCAGTGCCGACTCCTCCTCTGATAACTGCCGGTTCACAGCAGTAGTTTCCTCTCGCTGTGACAGCTTCAACTCCCCCTGACTCGACATGAGGCGTCGATTTTGCCGTGACGTGACGCTTCAGTGTAAACAGCACTGTGTGCTGCCATGTGCAGAATTTTCATAGGCATTTGAGGAGTGTTAAAAACGCCCCTCAAAATGCCTGCTTACAAAGCTAGTGTGAACTAAGCCTTAGTCATCACTCCCCAGTCTGCTCCTCCAGTACTGGAGCCCCAGGCTGGAGAGGGGCAAGATCAATATAGTCAGGATGCTATAAGAGCCTGAAGTGACTCTATGATGTCAGCTGACAGCGGGCTTTATCCCACCGATGGCTGATGCCTGGATCAGAGGAGAGCAAAAGTAAGTGCCTCCTATGATCTAGAACAGTGGTCGGCAAGCCGCGGCTCGCGAGTCACATGCGGCTCTTTACCCACTCTAATGCGGCTCTTCTGTGTGCCGGGCGCCTGCTCCCCTCCTTCCTCTCGGTCGGCCGCTCCCCTGCCTCCTCTCGGTTGGCAGCCCCAAAAGTCCGCGCGGACCTTTTAATCCGGCCCGCGGATGTGGCTGTCAGGATGTGTGTAGGCGGGGGGCAGGCAGCGTGCCGAACGTGAGGGGAGGGAAGCTAGGCTCCTCTCACAGTCCGCCCTGAAGACCCGAACGGCGCAGGAAGACGGCGAGAGGAACGCAAAAGGTAAGTGAATTGACACGGGGGACTTGGCTTACTAGAAGGGGGGGGGGGGATAGTACTGTGGGGGATGAAATACTATATGGGGGATGAATTACTATATGAGGGATGAATTACTATATGAGGGATGAAATACTATATGAGGGATGAAATACTATATGGGGGGATGAATTACTATATGGGGGGATGAAATACTATATGGGGGGATGAAATACTATATGGGGGGATGAAATACTATATGGGGGGATGAAATACTATATGGGGGGATGAAATACTATATGAGGGATGAAATACTATATGGGGGGATGAAATACTATATGGGGGGATAAATACTATATGGGGGATGAAATACTATATGGGGGGGATGAAATACTATATGAGGGATGAAATACTATATGAGGGATGAATTACTATATGAGGGATGAAATACTATATGGGGGATAAATTACTATACGGGGGATGAATTACTATGGGGGATGAATTACTATATGGGGGATGAATTAGGGGGATGAATTACTAATGAATTACTATATGGGGGATGAATTACTTATGGGGGATGAATTACTATATGGGGGATGAATTACTATATGGGGGATGAATTACTATATGGGGGATGAATTACTATATGGGGGGATGAATTACGATGGGGGATGAATTACTATATGGGGGATGAATTACACTATGGGGGATGAATTACTATATGGGGGATGAATTACTATATGGGGGGTGAATTACTATATGGGGGATGAATTACACTATGGGGGATGAATTACTATATGGGGGATGAATTACTATATGGGGGATGAATTACTATATGGGAGATGTATTTTCAGTTTTAAAAATGTGGCTCTCAAAATAAATTTCAATCATGGTTTTGGCGAGATTTGGCTCAGTTGAAAAAAAAAAGGTTGCCCACCACTGACCTAGAAGAAAAGCATGGCCAAAAAAGCTTTGGCCAGTGTTCTCTTTTAACATGCCATCTTTCTGGCTATTTTACTGTACCTGTAAAATTATGAAGTATCTTTCTCTCTCCAGAGATGAGCAAAAGAAAATAAAGGGGAAATAAAGCAAATGAAAAGTTTGGTACACAAAAAAGGACAAAAGAGACACCATTCATTACTGTAGCCATTGGCTAGAACTCTCAGAGTCGCACGATATACAAAAAATAAATAAAAAAATAATAATGTGAAAGTAGGCATTTATATAAAAAAAACATGACAAATCAAAAACACCAGGTATTCCATTCACAATACCAGAATACCCGCAGATATGCCTCTACCATTTCCCAATTTTATAGCTCCAATAAAATTAAAAGAATTGTAAAACTTCTACAGTCATCTGCCTGCTCACATGATAATGATTCAGCAGTGTGATTTCATGGATTCATGAAGCAAGCTGTAGATAGAGATAGATAGAGTGGGGAATTATTTGATCCCCTGCAGATTTTGTAAGTTTGCCCACTTACAAAGAAATGAAGGGTCTATAATTGTATCATAGATGTATTTTAAATGATAAAGACAGAATATAAATGGAGTTGCAATTCAATGAGTAAAATAATTATTTTTTACCAAAATTGAGCTATTTGGCATGAACTTTTTTTACTTTGCTTTCTAGAGCTGGCCATACACTAGTAGAATTTTGTTTGATTTTTTTTTCCTGTTTGTTTAAAGAAAGTTTTTTAAAGTTTCTAATCATCGGTAGGTAGGGTCAGATCCACAATTTTCAACCACTGTGATGAGAAAATTAAAAAAGGAGCATAATGAAAATTATTCTTTAATGAACACATTTCCAACAACCGATGTGGTTTTCGTTCAAGAAATTATGTTCATTCCAAAATCGAATGTTAAAAGCAAACAAAATTTTGAAGAACTTGGGAAAAACATTTTTCAGGTCATTGAGAGAACTGAGAATTTTCGTACAAATGTTCATATGAACATTTGTTTGAAAAGTTACCAATGCATGGCTAGCTTAACAAATCAAAGGTATGCAACAGTTTATGGTTTTTGTAGGGTTTCAGATTAAACAGCAAAGCCTCTAAGGCCCCATTCACACTTGCATATAGGGCTGTTACTGAAAACGTGGGGGACTCAGCGGGGGGTTCCTGGTGATTAGCTGCAGACTGCAGCCCCACTGAAAGCAACAGGAGGGCAACAGCTTCTGCAGGAAATTGCAGTGGCTCACATGTAAATCGCTCATGGAGCAATTACTTGTGATGGTCAATCTGCATCCAGCGCCAATCATCATAGGTAATCGCTCCATGTGTGAATACATGCAAGTGGCCAAGATCAACTGTGTGAGCTTTGAGCCTCTTACTTACAATGGGACTGCCACCCACAACTAATCGCCAGGAACCCCTGTATGTAACAGGCCCATTCCCAAGTCTTGATGGGACCCATAGCTGCCTATGCAAGGATTGAAATTTGTCTGGTTCACCATGGACTGGCTAAATTTTGAACAGTCAGTGGCCATCTTCCCCTCTTATCGCTCAATGGCTGCAGCCACTGATCAGTATATTTTAACAGCAGTTGTCAGAATACAATGTGTCCCCAGGTAAATTATCTAATTTAGGGAGCAGACGTTCTACATAGAGGGCCACAAATTAGACCCATAGTTTCCTGATTCTGGGTTGCAGTTGCAACACTAATTATTCTAGAAAAATGACTAAAAGTCTAAACCTTTTGCCTTCATTGTTTTCCAACCAGCAATATGTATTATGCAAGCTTACAGCAAGCATACCCATATACTACATTTATACCCAAATCTTATTCTTGACACAGGTTACCACAATGCCGCTTTAAATGGATTGCGAAGGCTGTCTTTTTTTTTCATCCCTGCTTAAAATTCTCAAAGCGGAAGGGAAAGAAAAAAAAATGAATCAGTGATTACTCAGGGAACCTATTTAGGATTCCACAAGCATACGGGCTTCTCTGAGACTCCAACCACTGCAAGCCAAGGCTCTCCTCCTTTCTATCCAATACACCCACACAAAGACACGCAGCTCTGCACCACTGAATGAAGGTTTACATTAATAACCTCTATGGAGTTTGCTATGAATGAAAAGACGTCAGAGCTGATCCTGTACAGACTGAGGAGGGGTGCTCCATCGCATATTAAACATTCAGGTACATCTTGGCACGATAAGGCAGCTCCACACACTGTGCTGCATGGGTACTGCAGAACATCCAAAGTAAGCTTCAAAAAAAAAAAAAAAAAAAAAAAAAAAAAAAAAAAAGGAATACGAGGCTGCTACATTCAATGTATTTTACATCTAAAACAAGG